TCCTTCTATTATATTCTGAATTTTAATCAAAATCTGAAATTTATTAATTTTACCATTACATAACCTCCTCCTTCTTTAAATTCTCTAATCAATCTATTAAGACTAATCTTCAGCTTATATACCACAAGTTATTTATTTATTTATTTAGATTATTGATATAGTTATTTCAATAATAACAATACCCTATGAAAATAAAAGATTTAATTATCAAGTTTCTATCTTTTGTAAAATAATAATTTTATTTTCAGTCCTAATGCCTTAACTATTTTTAATATTAAATAGTTCAAAGCTTCTTTAATGAATCAATATGATATATATAAATGTTTGGCTTGTGATTTCTTTGTTTTTTTTTGTATCCATTCTTGAATATACAAATATTTGGATAAATAAAATCACTTTCTTTCTAAATAATTAGCCATAAAATAGTTTCTAAGTTGAATAACCAAATAGTGCTAAACTCAACACTTTTTTAACTTCTTTTTCATAAAACTGAACAGATCTAGCAATTATTTAATTAAATAATAATAATTTATTATAATAATAATTAATAGTTTTCCTAAAAAATCACATGTAATATTTAATATAAGATATATTATTATATTCATTATAATGATAATTTCCTATTTAGTATTGGTTTAAAAGGAATAGATTAGTAATATTATATTTAACTTGATTTCTTTTTTTTCTCTTATCTTTCATGTTCTTAATATAATCTATAAATGGATTGGATTCCAATTAAAATTAAGATACGTATTAATTCTTATCCGATTACGGTTTTTTTATTAAAGACTCTGATTTTTATTCATATGTGATATTGAATGATCTTTCACATCTGAAATTGATTTTACACTACTGTGATTGTACAATCTTTCAAAGACTTTTTCATTTTATTTAACATTTCCTTAATGATTAATTGCTGGGGTGAAAGTACATTATTCTAATTCCATTTATTAAAGTTCTTCTTATTTTAAAGCAACATTATTTATTTTTTCGAAATGATGATTATAAAGCCTATCCTCTACTGATATACCTTCAAATTACTATAATTTCATTGGAGAACTGATTAATTAGGGACGATAAGTAAATTAAGAATCTTCGTTGTTTTTAGGTGTGTTATTTCTTTAAGTTAAAGCATTTTAATATAGTCTATCAAATGGATTTTCTGCAGATTGATTTCTACCAATAGATTTAGTATTTATTGAAGGTTTGAATGTACAATCTTTTAATTCTTATTTCTAATTCAGTTCTTAAACGATTTGTAATTTGATTTTTGAATCTATTGCATAATTATTCAATCTAATATGAGCTGGAGAATTCAATTCTAATTTTTGCTCTTTTTTGTAATTTAAGGTTTAAATGTGCATTCCTTCATAAGATGGTTGATTTACTCATCTCTTTTAACTATTTAATTCTCTTCATTTAATATATGTTATTCATAGAGATGATTTAATTAAGAACTAGATTTTGTATGTATTTCACTAACTGACATTTTATTTGATTAGCTTTCTTATGGAGATTCTTATATTTGATTTCTTTAATTATTTTTCCATATCCTTACAATCGAGAAGTTAATTCAATAAGTTATTCTCTATTTAAATTAAGTAAATGAATTAACAATGTTTCATCTAATGTACTTTTGTGCTATTTGAAGGATTCTTAAAGTACCAAAAGACCAAGATTTCTACAATAAGTTGAAAATTGATCTAGTTATTAAACCATAATTATCTAATCAGATAATTAAGGAAAATTTATTACATTAAAAATATCTATGATAAGAGCTTCATTAACATTCATGTTCTTTAATAGTACATGGAGTTTGTGGATCAGCGTTCTGCTGTTTATCTACAAAATAAATTTATCAGGAGCTCTAGATTGGTTTGTCATACTCATAGTACATATTAGTATATTACAAATTGAGACAAAATAACAAGATAGTCATATTAACTACATTAATTTTAGAATATATTTTTAGATTAATTATATTATTTATATATAATTAACATCAAGTTATTACATAAACTGTTCCATTTACTTGACTCTATCAATTTAGGAAACATTTTAAATTAATATTTCATTTTCAATGTCTTTTAAAAAGGCAAGGCTTTTTCGATAAATATACTACAGTTTCTTTATCTATTGTTACCTAAAATTGAGAATTATTGCTTATGCAATTGTAAAATATATTGATAACCTTTTAGCTGTCTTGGACTCGAAAATAAATATAATACTAATTGATTTTAATCTTTAAAAAATAAAAGAGTTTCTTAAGCTTCTTCATTGTAATTGACACCTTAGCATAAGCTATTATGGCATTCTTTTCGCTTGTTTCTATGATTTTAATTAATTCATCAAGAATATAATTTTTAATTAAATATCAAAGTTGAATAAATCTTTTATACAATAATAAAGTAAAACAAACAAAAATATCTGAAGAATTTTAATTACTCTAAAAATTATCTTTCCTTAACAATATATTCAGTTTCCTTTAAATATTTATAAGATTAATTTTTTCCAAATCCATTATTAGATTAATATCATATCAAATAAAATGTAATTGTCTTTTTATAATTCTATAATAAGATATAGATTGTGAAAATATTTTATTCTAAATTTGCTAAGTGAGACTTTTGATTAGCACTTTTTTATATTGTTTTAGAACTTGATATA